AGAAAGAAAGAAAGAAAGAAAGAAAGAAAGAAAGAAAGAAAGAAAGAAAGAAAGAAAGAAAGAAAGAAAGAAAGAAAGAAAGAAAGAAAGAAAGAGAAAAAGAAAGAGAAAAAGAAAAAGAAAAAAAAAAAAAAAAAGAAAAAGAAAAAGTACCTCCCATTGCATAAGAAAGGAAACACAAGCAATGGATATGGCAGATGGTCTCTTTATCTGTCAGCTCCTCCACAAGAAGAAAATCAGGTCATCTGGATTTTGCTTTTGGTAGCCCCCACCACACTGTCTTGTGYCTGGCCACATGTCTCTACTCCTGTGCACTACCATCCGAACTATGCAGCCCTTCATTTTGCAATGTTTTCACTAATTATTCCCTTCACTCATTATCCAATCAGCTTGTTCATCTCACCCATTTATCCAGTATTTCACCTGTCCATGCCACCAGCATATGGTTGATATGTCTGCACRTGCACCTGCTATGTGCTGGTCTTGATCAGGATGTCTGTTCTCTTGCAAGAGAACAGCTTGCAAAACAGGGGAAGAAGGAAGCAAAAAAAGCAAGGAGAAAAGGAGGAAGAGCATTAGCTGACTGAAGGAGACAGATACAAAAAGAAAGGCAAAAATAGAAGGGTAAAAGAGAATATAAATTTGAATCTCACCTCGAATGGCTTGAACACAGAAGACCAAACACAGATTCAGCAGCAGGATGAAAATCTCTTTCACATTCATACTGTCCGTGGCACACAGGCAGGGTCCTAGTTCAGAATTTCAGAGTTTTCATTGCCCACTGGCTRCTCTCTTGCCCTGCTTACTGTGAAGGTCTTTGTTTTCGTTTCACAGAAAGAGAAGTAAAACTGAATATGGGAACTTCTTTAAGATTACGTTGAAGTGACATTCAGAATGTACTTCTACTAAGCATTTATTGTAGGACAAAATCCATGTTTTCTTGCTGTATGGTGTTGCACTACAAGCAAAGAATGAAATAATTGTGCCTTGCCAAGGAAGTGCAGGGATTCAGTCAGCTGAGTGGCAACAAAAAACCATCCTAATCTGTGAACTCAGCCTTAAAATTAATTTAATTCTTCTGCTCTTTATGCTTAAAGCCTTCCTAATGCACCACAACAGTGTTCTGATTTTCATCTTTCCTTAAAAATATGATCCAAACCACATAGTTCCTAGAAGCTATAGTGGTTGAGTTTCCATATTCATTCACTTTGAGAGTTCCTTCAATAAGCTCCTTTCCTAGGTGCCCCCCCAAACAAGTTGCAAATTGTAGACATAATACCAAGCAAATTAAAATAATTTCTTTTCTTTTCTTTATTTTCCTGGTGATTGTACAGACTGAGATGTAAATTGAGCAGTTCCAGGACCATTCACCACACGGTTCAATACCAGAATTTAAGTCCTTTTGGATATCTCTCATTGCTCTTTTAAATCACCATACACCCATCTCCTAAAATACATAACAGATATGAGACTTTTTTCTACTTTAGGGGAGCAGGGGAAAAACTCCTTTTAAATTCCTATTGACTTTTAGATTCCTGAATGCCACTTCCTTGCTCCGGAAGCAGCTGGCCAAGCCCTTGAATAATCGTCACAGCTAAGGAATCCCTCAGTAACTCACAGGTCCTTGTTTGAGAGCAGACTCTGCCATTATGCTTCCCCCAGGAAGGAAGCCATTCCCTTACCTGGATCCAGGGATGACTGTGAGGCAGATGATTCCACCTGAAGTGTGACTGTCCCTGTCCAGCCTCCCCCTAGAGCACCAGAATCCTGTGATGTAGAAGCCAGGAAACGCACACTTGCGTAGAACTGGAGGCACAAGTATAAACCAACCACAGGATTTTCTTGGCAAGTAAGCTCTCGAAAATAACTGCTGCATCTTTTGTGAACCTCAAATTCCACTTTCAGAGAAGCAGACACTCCCCTTTCAAGGAAACTCTGTGCAATTGCACAAAATAGGAAGTCTGTGCTTCCTATTTCAGCACCCAAAGCACACACTTAGACCGGACTGGTAGGTTAACTGGGAAAGGAGGGAAAGGAAGATTGTCATTGCCAATCTGTATGTCAGCAATTACCAGATCATGGGACTTGTTTATTTTAAGAATTCTCTTAAGACAAAAAAAGGACTGACTGCAGCAGAAGTTAGAAAGATGAAGAAAGATTTTTTTCTGGTTTTCACTCCAATGCAGTTCCTTAGTTTACTCTAGACGAGAAAATCTTCATGGCAGGGATCACTCTGGGATTTTGTTTGTACATCTATAYTGTGGGAGAGTGAACTACCTTTATCTCTGAGACCCTTTAATTTGAGTAACATTTCTTAGTTTTACCTATTTTAACAAAAAATAATAATAAATTATAAGTACTATAGTACATAGAGGAAACAAAAGTAAACCGGTGAGAATAGTTGATCTGAAGTGATCCTACATCCACGGCAGCCTGGTCTTTAATCCAACTATGAAACTTTGTCCAGTAGCCTTCAAAAATAAACCTTAGGAAAGTTAGTTATAAGGGAAAGACATGCTCTGGTTTTGCATTCTCAGGGAGAAACTATAGGGGATTAAGATGAGTTCAGTTATATACAGAATATAACTGGCAGACTTTGTCTGCATGCTACTTCTCCTCTAAATCCCTAGGGTACTGATCAAAACAACAGACAGGGCAGCACAGTCATTCTCTCACCAGAACAGCATCAATAAACAAGCAAAAAAATGTAAATGTGAATAAGGGAAACATGGAGAGCAAGGCAAAGAATATGGAGAGAGTCTGAGGAAACTGTGTGTCAGAATATGCCCATATAAAACCAGTAGATGAGAGGGTAGATGGGAAGAATTCATGTTGCATTGCAGTTTAAAGTCAGAGGGGAGCCACCCTGCTCTGATTTTCAAAGGTCAGAGTGTTTATGTTCTTCTCCCACCCTTATAAGAGGACAGTAGTTTCCCAGCAGACATTTTCCCTCCCCTTCCTTCCTCATTGAAAATGTTCCTCCATTTTCAGAGRGAGGCTGAGTTTCTGGTTACATCACAGGACCTAGCTGTCAGTAAAAACCTTTGGGTGCCACTTGCTCTGCTGAATTCAGGATCAAGTGACAAGGAATTCTGCACACCAGAAGCTTTGCAGGCAATAAACACCATTAGGTTCCAAACTTACAATGCATTTTATTTTCCGTCACAATGTGTAATACCACTGACAGTCATYGCATATTGCTTCACCTCCTTTCTAAACTGCATTGCCACAATGCCTTTAGAGACGGAAGTTACATTTTCTAACGTTTTGGTAAAATAATGTCAACTGAGTTCCCCCACCCAAAAAAACACTTTTATAATAAAACTGATGAACTAATATTTCACTTTATTTGTTGATGAATCTGATACAGTAATTTCTTGTTTGCTTTATTTGAAATGCAGTGTCAGAAAGGAGAAGATAGAGAAGAAATTGCGGTTTGAATAGGTATCATACACATTTTCCCAGAACACTTATTTCCCAGAAATAAGTAGTTTATACAGTTACATAAAGGTCTATAAGGAACACCACAGTTGTATTAAGTTTGATTCACAAAATTCAATGTATTGGTCAGTGGAAGAGAAAAAAGCTAAGGTGGGCTGCAATTTCTTCACTGAAATTCAAAAAAGTTTTTTTTATGTGCTCTTAGGACAAACTCTGAATGCCCAGTCAGACTCCAACATGAGAGAAATAATTACACACTGGCACAAAAACCTTCAGATCAGCAAATGAAGAGAAAATTATGGGAGTCTAGGAAAAAAAAATTAAAAAAATAAAAGCTTATGAAGACATTCTGGACAAATAATTAGCCCTGGGAGTGAGAATAGAGATTAGAGCAGGTSTTGGGGCTCAGGACACCTCTATTGCACACTAACACTGCGCCTTGTGAATATGCCCATGRTTTTACTTCTCTATTCCTCACCTTCCCTTGTCTCTATGTAGATCTCTATTGCAGRGAAGTGCTAAAAAGCTGAAGCAGTTAATTAAGTACAGTTTTTACACAGAAAGGCAACATATTACTAAAAATTACTCATTTCAAGGTCACTTCAAAGCCATGTTGAAGGAAACTGCCAGCAGAGAGGGATATCTACATAGCACTTATGTTGTTCCTACTGTTTGAGTAGCACCTGTTCCTGGAGTAGTGTTGTAGACACCCAAGTCATCTTTGTGAGTGATGTGCAACTTCCAAGGGAAAAAGTGCTTCTCAGAGGGCCTTCTTCTGCTCTGAGCCACCATGAGTTCAACATCCTGATCGGAGAGCAACCGGATCAGATCACCATCAAGGTCCCGGTAGTTCAAAACAATGTCATCTTGGTGAAACTCCTGCCTGGTAGGAAAGAAATTGATTGATCCCCAGAAATCAAGGAATGCTTGGGATGTGCTGCATGATGAACAATATACTGACAATCTAAATAAATCTGATAAAAGACACACAAAGCCTTGGGTGCCTTGGCATTCTTGATACAGTCATCACTAGAAATCATACAGCCACATTCATTCTGTGTTGTGTTCAAGCTAAGAAATCTATCAGAACCAAGAAGTATTTCCAGTAACACCACACAAATGGCACAATTCATCTGAAGAGCTGACTGTTGTTACTACCTGCTTTTTGCCTACTTACTGTTGCTCTTTCTGAGGAGTGTAAGAAYATCAGCACCGGTGTTCTATTAGTAATATTTAGTGTTCTAAAGTGTTGATGTTCAACAGTAGATTAATCCATTTAACACTAGTTTAACAGGTGTTAGAAGGCCATGTCTTATATCCTGAGGAAGAGTAGTAGACAGAAGATATTTTCATGGGGGTGTGACTGATTTCAAAAGAAATGGAAACTTCTACCCATCATCACTGAGTCAGAAGTGTGTGTCATTYCTTACTGAGTGACAATCCCAAGGAGGACTAGTGTCTGCACAGATGGCCCTGGGCCAAGTCAAAGTGCAACTTCCTCCAGATGCTTGGAAAGTACTTCACACACAAAACATGGTATGACCAAGTAGAATGTGGAAAATCTCAGATGGGAATGAGCTTGATAAATGTTTAAGTATCAAATATACAACTGACTGCTTGTATTGTACCTCATCAATTCCATTAGATCTTTGAATGATGGAACGCTGCTCAGATCCTCTTCCACTGAGACATCCCTGTATTTAAAACATATCTAATCACTACAAACCATGGCATGTTCTTCAGCAGTAAACTGGAAGACTATTTTCTAATTACCTTATAGTGCTCATGGTATCACCATAGTAATAACAGCGGATTTTATTAACTGTGTCTTCCTGCTGTGGCAAACCTTTTATGATCTTCACAAAAGCACTTGGGAAAATTCCAGTGGCACCACCAGCAGTTCCCTGGAATGACAGGAATATTAGAATCAAGAAAGCCATGCCATTTTGGCCACATGCAATGGGTTCTGGAGTTCAATTAATTTACATAGAAACAACAGTAAAAAAAATTCCACTATAATCAAGAAAAGAAAGTCTATGGAAGTGACCTCATGGCATCCCTACAAACAGATTATACAATCACATAGTCAAATACCAGGCAGGGGAATCAAACAGTGTGTAAAAAATGAAAGTCAGATGGTTAGCAAGGAAGGTTGTGGTGTTTGAGCAAGCAGAGATATCATATCAGCAAACACACAGTATGTTCTCCTCATCCTTTTTTCAGAACACTGCTGCATTACCCAAGTTCTCTCTAATCAGGCTGACGTGTGTTGTGGTATGAAGCATGAAGCATACATCAACTCACCCTGAGGCAAGAAACCAATTAATCACTGAAATGGAGTTTCCATCTCCTTTCTGTGGCCTTTCTGTGTTCTAATCACTTCCAAAGAATTTAAAAACATTCCAGCAGAAGCAAATGCAATTGAAAACTGAAGTCTGGAGGGCAGAAAAATTATAAGCTAAAAACCATCAAGGAAGCAAACAATTACTAATTAGAAATCAAGGATTTATTCTTGACAGTAAGACCTGATTATGATACAGTTTCTCCTTGAAAGGAAGAGACAAGTTATAAGGACCAGGAGAGCTCTTTCTACTCATATATGTCAAGGTATGCTGATAATTCAGTGCTGCAATTGCAGACTTACCTCCAGCCAGTCTTTGTTTACTCTGCTGAGCAGGTAGATCAAATCTCCCTTCTTGAAGCTGAGTTCCAGTTTATTGGTTCCAGGATAATCAAACAGTGCCTGTGGAAGGTAATAATTTTGAAACTATTAATTCACAGAATTACAAAAGCAAATATTTCTATTGCGTTCCTGAAGTGAAAGCATAATGCAGCAAGATAGTGTGCACTTTGTTGTCACATACGTATTTCTGGGATAAGGTCACATATATTTGACCACAGTCTGCAGTTCTCTCTATCTCTTCTCCTAATCAGCACACACAAAAATGCTTTGAAGAAGCAGTGAAAGCAGTGGGATAAACATGGCCCYTAAGAGAGCTACACACAAGGATTCTTAAAGTGGCAGAGCACTGAGCACCAGAGAAATTAATATACCTTAGTTGAAAGCACTTGAGAGCTAGTAAGGCAACAGACCTGAAGACAACTGGACAGCTTGAAATCATGAGAATTGCAAAGATATATTATTTCTGGTTGCAGCTTTACAGCTTTTAAATTTGCTTGCAAAATATCACAAAGAACCTTAAAAAATTAAAGAGATGTTGTATCCTAATTTAAGGGGAACTAACTGTTGCTTTTACAGTTAGCTTTCAGATCTATGTGCTGAACTGGGAGATTTGGGAAAACCTGGGAAACTGACATGTTGCCAAAATGGAACTTAGATGCCCTCTTCG